TCCCAGGGTGCCTCATCTAGCATCCTTAAAACACGCCCCCCACAACCTGGGACTTCACCTGACTGCCATAACTTTTCAAATATCATAGAGAGTGGTTTGGCAACTATGTCAGCAAATTCCCTCAGGACTCTTGGATGCATTTCACTAGGTCATGTAGACTTATGTACATTCAGGTTCTTCAGGTGGTCGTGAACCTGATCTTTACTTGAAGTGGGAAGGACTTTGCTCTCCCAGTCCCCATCCTGCTGTCCATCCACTGGAAAGGTGTGGGAAGAGACATTGCCATTGAAGACTGAGGCAAAAAAAGTTTTTGAGTACCTCAGTCTTCTCCTCATCTATAGTTACCAGTTTAGCAGCAATGTTTATCAGGGGATTACCCATTCTTTGACCTTCTTTTTCTGGTCAATATACCTGTAAAAGCCTTTCTTGTTATTCTTTGTGTCCCTTGCCAGGTTCACTTGCAGCTTCAGCTGGGCCTTCCTCACCCTATTCCTACACAACTAAACTTCATCTCTATACTCTTTCCAGGTTACCTGTCCTTGTTTTCATTGCCTGTGTATTTGCTTCTTTGCCTTTAATTTGACTTGCAGTTTCCTACCAAGCCATGCCTTCCTTACCTGATTTATTGTTCCTGGGGTTGCTGGGGTTTGCAGTTTTCTTGACAGTGATTAGGCCTCTAATTTAGGTCAGGTTACTGAATTCAGTTTTGGGCACAACTTTTTCAAAAAGGCAGACAAATTGGAAAGAGTTCAGAGGAGAACAACATAAATGATAAAAGGTTTGGAAAATAAGATCTATGGGAAAAGGTTAAGTGAACTGGGCATGTTCAGACTAAAGAAAAGAACACTGAAGTGAGGCATGACATGTCTACAAATACATCGAGTTGCTATAAAGAGGATAGGGACAAATTATTCTCATTAGTCAGTGAGGACAGAACAAGAGCTAATGGGCTTATACTGCAGCAGAGAACATCTAGGTTAAATGTAAAGGAAAAACTTTAACTAACAGAACAGTTAGAAATACAACATGATGTCAAAGCATCCTGAAAAACTCCCTCTGATGTTCAGGTTTTAGCTTACTCTTGCTTCATATCTGGTAGAGGGAGGATCACACAGTGGTTAGGGCTCTAGCCAGCTTCCTTCTGCACTGCAGATTTCTTATGTGACCTTGGGCAAGCCAGTGAGCTTGCATTTCAGCTCCCTAGCTGTAAAACAGTGAGAAAAGCAATTCCCTAGCTCTCAGAGATGCTGTAAGGATAAATAGTTAAGGATTCTCAGACACACTATGAGCCATCTAAGCAACTATACAAATTAAACATTCAAACAAGCCACAGTGCAAACATACCTGTAGGTCCCTTCCCATCCAGAAGGCTTCTGTGAGTGCTGCAATGGGCTTTAGCTAGCACATCCAGACTAGGATGCATTAGGATGATCCAATCTAAGCTGTACCTGAGAAAAGAAAAAGTACAGCATTAACAATAAATCAGTGGCTGATATGACAGCTCACTAGAAGCTCAGCCTAACTACCTCCAGAAATCAGTGGACTCTATTGTCACAGTGGAAGAAGGATCAAGACTGAGTACCAGTCATTAAGCATGAAGAGGGACCAGTTATCAGGGTTCTGTCCGAGCCACTCGCATAAGTTCTACCACAGTGATGTTGCTGAGATCACTCCTGGAAAGCAGATTAAAATCAAGTTAGAAAGGAAGAGAATATTAAAAGTAAAAATAAAGATATCAAAGAAACAGATTTTTTTTTTTGGTTATACTTAAAGTCAAAGGTTTATTCCTATTTGTTGCTTGATTTCATGAGGGTAGTTTTGATGGCTAGAAGGGAGTTGCATTTCCTATCTAAAAGTAATTATCAATAAAAAATTCTATTAAAACATCCTTTGAAAAGAATTGAGGCTTTGTGATACTAAAAGTAGATGAGATTGTGAAAGCTAAAATACTGTAAATAAATGTAGTTAGTTTAAATTTGTGATTTATTTACTGTGTTTTACCCAGCAAAGAGTTTAATTGCATTATTGTTGTTGTTGTTGTTCTGTTGTTGTTGTTGTTGTGATATTCCTGTACAACAATTATGCATTTTCATCTTACTTGTTTGGCTTTACAGACAGACAGAATACACATCTCCCTGGCTGTCAGTACAGTGAGACTCACAATAACAAAATGCTGTATTTTCCAAGCTGTTTTGTCCTGTGCCTTCTTCAGCTATAGCCCAACTATTCCTGCTCCCATTAGCTCAGCTGAGACATCAGACTGGGGTTACCCATAATACATGCAGGTACAAGAATTTTCCAAACATGTCTCACAAATCCAGGCTTTGCTACTGTAGTAGAAACATTCTCTTTGAAGAGTTTGTACTTAAACTATGCAGTGTAAAAAAAATTAAGCATCCTCTAACTCCTCCATTGCAATAGAAAACCCTGAATAAACATGCAGATAAAAGCAACTGATTTACTATTAGAGTGTAGAACTCAAGAGGCAACAAAATAAGTAAAAAAAATTGCAACCTAAAACATTTATGTAAAAATAAACTGAATTTCAAGAGCTGATTTCAAGAGCTGAAACCTAAAATGGGACACATTTCAAGAAAAGAATAAATGTGTATCCCCATGGGACAAGTGGTTTCACTGACTAGCAGCTATGAGGAAAAAAGTGATGTAAATGACAGAATAAATGGAAAGTAAGTCATGAGCCCAGTTGGAGCAAATGAAAAGCATGACACAAGATCTCAGAAGACCTTGACGAGCTACATTAACCCAAATGCTATAGGCATTTCATCTAGGAAGTTAAATGTTTACTGCATGAGTTATGTGCTATATGCTTATTCATATGCATCTCTACACTCACGACAAAAGCCTTTCAAGTAGAATTGTGTGAACTGTGGATGGTGGAGTTTTTTATTTAGTTGAGAAACCTACAACAAAAATTCAGCTTAATATTTGGCTTTATTTTCAAGCTATTTCAGCCATCTTCTAATCCTCTGGGGGGAAATGTAAAGCAGAATGCGAAATGAAAAATTTGTTTGAAATAAAGAGCTATAACTTTTTTTTTTCAAAAAAATAAAAGGTAGAGACAAGAAAAAGACTGGTAAGGAAGAAAAAAATCTCCAAAGGGAAAACAGATATGCAAGTCTAACTTTGAACTTAGACACTTCCCACAACGTAATCAAGTGACTTGCCAGCCAACCACACGTGTATACCGGAGAAACAAGTGAGAATGAGACTGTGGGAAGTGTGGTAACAGTTCTGCACTCATAGTACTTTCTTTCGTCTCGTAATACATATATTTGTGCAGTTGATATATTAACCAGCTGTATTTTTTCATGTTGCAGACAACAGTTTGCCCAATAGTTTGTAGACAGTGCTCTGCTAATAAATAAATAAAAATAAAATTAAAAAAAACCCCCAAAACTAAAAAACCAAAGTAATTAAAGAGTTTAATAACATAGAAGCAGCTTTTGTGCACACACTACACAGAAGATGATCTATGAGGGTTTTCACACATGTACTCCTCAGTGACTCAGTTTTAGTCAAATTATTTTCTGGATTTAGATCAAAAAGGAAGTAATTAAATCCTTACTTTTCTTTTTGAAATATTTTTTAAAGATTATTATTCTTTAAAGGTTATTTATCTTAGTTCCTATGGAATAATACAGATATTCTACTTCAGACTTCGAGGAACACTGGATGTCATAAAAAATAGGATGCTTCAAAGTATTTCCTGGCATTGTTTAATATTGAATCATATTGCAATACATAGAATCATATAATTGTTTAGGTTGGAAGATCATCAAGTTCAACCATAAACTGAATGCTGCCAAATCCACCACTAAACCATGTCCCTGAGTGACACATCTACACATCTTTTAAATACCTCCAGGGATCATGATGCAGCAATTCCCTGGGCAGCCCGTTCCAGTTGATATCCCTTTCAGTGAAGAAATGTTTCCTAATGTCCAATCTAAATCTCCCCTGGATTAACTTGAGGCTATTTCCTCTTATCCTATTGCTTATTACCTGGGAGAAGAGTCTGGCTACCACCTCCTTTCAGGTAGTTGTAGAGAGTGATAGTCTCCCCTCAGTCTCCTTTTCTCCAGGCTAAACAGCCCCAACTCCCTCAGCTGTTTGTCATAGGACTTAGATCCTTCGCCAGATCCATTGCCCTTCTCTGGGCTTACTCCAGCACCTCAATGTCTTTCTTGTAATAAAGGGCTCAAAACTGGACACAGTATTTTTGCCTTAGATTTTTTTATTTTTTAATTTTTATAGATTTTAAAGTAGCTGTATTATATCCCTCACCCTTTAGTATAGTAGTTTACACATTTACTCAACACTGTTCCCCATTCCCTATCACTCCCTCAAAATTCTGTTAACTCTGTTCTTTGTTTAGTCTTCTTTTCAATGTAGATTTGCAGAAAGCACCTTAACACCTGCCCCAAAGAATGTAAACATGGGCACAAAGACCTTCCAGCCCAGAACTTTGAAAGGTTTCCAAGGGCTGCACGTGTTGATGAAGAGGAAGATGATGAAAGAGGGGTCCCAAACTCCCCCAGACTCAATTTCCAAAGGGATGTGCCGAGGGGCGGAACAGGGCAGAACCGGGGTGGGTGGACGAATGGAGATTGGATGAACAGCATTATAAAATTGTAACACCTGAGTCGAAAGCACGCATGCAACAATTATATTCCTGGAGCCTGGTGGCTCATTAAAGCTTTCTGCTTTCTTATCTTATCTCCTACCTAATTGGTCCTGGAGTTTTTTTTCTTGGTCTTTTAGGCATCAGTATTCAAGATGTGGCCTCACTAGAGCCGAGTACAGGGAGACAATCGCTGTCCTGCTGGTCACACTATTTCTGATACAAACCAGGATGCCTTTGGCATTCTTGGCCTCCTGGGAGTACTGCTGGCTCATATTCAGCTGGTATCTTAGGCTAAAGCCATAGTTAAATATTTCAATAAGTTTCATGTATTTATTTGTATTTGCTTTCCTTCAAGCTTTATGACTTGAATGATGCCAGTAATAGAGGGGAAACATATTTGTCTCTCTTCACTGTCACTGATGACACAGATAAGTAAAATGGATGTAGATGTTTCTGTTTTCTTTCTTACTAGTGAGGCTTTTCAAGTGTTTCAATAATGAAGAGTTTGACATTCAAAATGTTTGCATCTATTGCTCTCAGATTCTTCTTCTCATGAAGAAGAATCCCAAAGTTTTGTGCTGATAAGAAATACAGGGGTAATCCAACAAAGTCAACAAGAGCTAGGGAAAAAAAATATGATGAAATATAATCTGTGGCAATGGATTTGCCATATGCAGAATGGAAGAAGTCCTGTCAGAGATGGACTAGTGAAGAAAATGAGAGCAGTTCAAATGTTACAGAAACCGAAGTTTTTAAGGTGGTTTAAACAGGTTTTAAAATGGTTTTTACCTTTTTGCAGAGTCATTGCCTCTTCTTCCCAACACCCCCTGTGCTCCCACACAAGGTGTCCTGGGAAGGTGTCCTGAGGTTTTCCCATTGGCCTTTGTTAACCCCTTTCTATTGGCTGTTGACCCTTCACCTGATTGTTTTTTCTATGTGACCCTGAACTTGTGATTGGTCCCCTTTTGACCCTCCTGAAAGCCTTATAAACCCCTACCCCACAATAAACTTCCTCTTTCGTCCGTCCCTCCCTGGTGTTCTGTGTGCTCCTTGCGGAGTCGCAGGGCCATGTGCTGGGGCGGGGGGAAGAGCATTCACCTCACAGATAATGGGCTAGCAGCCTAAATCCTGGAGGTCTCCCCCATCCCACTAATCTGTCGGAATAATCCCTCATGTTTAGTGCACCAAAACACATGTGGAGGGTCCCTTTGACCTACAAATAATGTATTGCCACCAGTGCAGCTAGGGAGTGGTTAGACATTGGAATGACAGCAGAGCCTACAGGCCTCTCAAGAGGTAAAATGAGAGAATAAAGAGGCAAAAACTCAGTATTTGCTGTTAACTACTGTTTTAATCTTTTCACTTAGGGCAATGCCAACTATTCTACTCCCCTGTGTACTATTAGATTATTTGACTCAATCAATTAATATAATTTTACACTGCTTTTGGGGAAGGGAAGATCAGTTATAGGAACATATTGATTGTTCAGATATGTTTGATGCAATCTTCTCTATCTACAACTGTCTCAGTTTAATGAGACTGAAAATGTTTTGCTAAGGAGGATGAGTTCTGAGGTAGACCAAACTCCTCTCTCTCAGCAATCGTAAATCCGAAATTAAGAGGCTCCAATCAAGGAAGTATGGAAAAAAAGAAAATAACAACCTTTTATTAAAGGATATATGTATATTGGGGAAAAAAAAAAAAAAAGCAGTGAAAGAACACAAAACCAACTAAACAATAGCCCTGTACCCAAAAGTCCCCTTCAAAAAAGGAAACAGTTTGATACTTCTCTGTCCTCTGGTGAGATTCTAATCACGGTTGGCAGAGGACGCTGTTGGATCACTGGAGGTGCAGAGCCTGCAGTGCTTGGTATTGGTCAGCAGGGGCACTCTTGGGCTCTGGCAGTCACCATGTGGGACCCCCAGACCGTGGGAGAAGCCAAAATGGAGATCTCCCCCCACCGAGGAGCGGAAGGGGAAAGGAGAAAGAAAGACGGTTTCTTTCCCACGAAACTCACACTGTCTGTGGCTGGCTACAGTCAGGGCTCCCCCTTTCCTCAATGAGCACAAACTATCCGATGAAAACCGAGCAGGTCCAGCTGTTGACAGAGCAGACAGCAGGCAAGCCATGGCTGGAAAACAGACTGATGATCAGATCGAGAGCAAAAATGGCCTCAGAGCTTTTTTCAACACACACCTTGCCCCCATTAAGGCAAAAAGTGAAGTGGCCCCCATTTACAAGGAAAGGAGGAGAAAAAACTCCTCCTCCCTCCCTGCAGTTTTGGAAGGGCTATTAGCCTGGAATGCAGGTCTGCCAGCTAGTTCTTTTGTATAGTCAATCACCCCTTTCCTCTCCTTGTTCAACATCCTTCTCTTACAGTGGGACAGGGGAAAGGAAAATTTCTACTTGGATTTTTAGAACAAGTAAGCCTATGACAACAATGAAATGCATACAGCACAGCTTCCTTGAGCTCAACAAGAATTAGACAAGGCAGTTTCCTTGCTAGCTGCTTCAAGCTCTTGGTAGGTAACATTTAGCTTCAAAAATAACTGTTTCAGCTTTTTCTCTACTTTGTGTTACCAGGTACTGAAAACATGTGTGTTCCTTCCTTGCTGGCATGTTTCTTTCCTCTTTTCTCTGAGCTTTTGCTTCTCTGTCACAAGGTTTCAGATCCCTAGGAACACAACACCCAAGAAAATCCTTCCACAGTGGTAAGTATTTCAAATGTCCTGCTGGTGACTGCTGTTGTTTCAGTTGTCTGGTTCCACTGGGGCATTTCACAGGTTCCTACCTTTATGCCCAAATGAAACAATGCTGTTTACATTCCCTAATGGAAGTAGAAGGCATAACCAACATTGAACATATCATGAACAATTCTGTGCATTAAGAATCCTGATGAAAATAACACAGCCCCAAGCTAAGCTACAAGAAGAGGACTGTTTAGAAACAGCATCTTAAATAATAGATCAGAAGATCACTTTTGCTAGGACTAGAAAAGAAACCTGACATATGAAGACATGGAAAGGTACTGTCAGAAATAACATTGCTTAGACCTTCAGCCTTCTAGCTGTAGCACTGGCTTAAGAAGGTAAGAAATCTGTTTAAAATGTTGACTTATAACACTTTTTTCTGATAAAAAAAAGGAGTGCAAGGAGAACAAGGACAACTGACTTAAAAATAAAAAGAAATCCTAGCTCAACTTTACTGTCCTTAATTGTTCCCATCTCACTTGAGTTTTAGTACAAAAATGGTTATTTCTTTCCAAGTGGAGAACTGAAGCAAAAAAGAAAAAATTCTCACCAAAATTTGTTCAGTTCAAATGCATTTGTTCTCTCAAAACCTGAGTAAAAGTTATGTACTGAGTTGTATTTGTTCTCTTCCTTCATCACTAGACAATACTGATATCCCTCCCTGTACCTACACAAAAAGGAAATGCAGCAACTCTTTTAAAAAATCCAACCCCTAGAAAGCCAAGTGATACTTGGCAAGAGCAGCCTTCCCTATGGCAGAGATTGAGCTTGCATCAGCACCATTTGTGGAACTAATACTACATAAGACAGTAGATAACAAAATGGGTTTCATGTCACTTCCTTTTAGATGCCTATACTACTTTTAGACTTCTGCTATTAGGCACATACCTTTTTATTATTCATCCTTTTCACTTTTTACAGTCAATAGAGAGGAATAGGCATTTTTGAGGTGTTTCTTCTGACCTGTTTTAAATGTTTACATTAGGATGAGATAAACTGTGCTCCAGTAGTGTCTTACTTTCTCTAGGGTGAGTCATAGGAGTTCAGACATGGACATCTACATTGTACACCTTCACTGTAGATATCTGTATTTTGTTATATATATATATATATATGTTATATATATATATATAAATCCCAGCCAAAAAGAAAACAAGACCAAGGGAGAAAAAGAGCTAGAAAGACTAAGGAGATGCAGTAATACCAGAGTCCCCAATAAGTAATGTAACCTAGAATTTAAAAGCCAAGAAATAACAAATTTAAAGTTAAAAAAGTTAAAAAGTCAAGCAGCAACTCAAAAAGAACTTCATTAAATGGGTCAGAAGAAGCATGTAGTCTTTTCCCCTTAATTTGAGACTGAAAGGTCACCCAGCTCAACACCCCATCTGTGGTACATCTGTTAGTGTCCTCATAGGTTTCAAAATATATGAACTCAAGGAATGTTACTCTTTTCCTAACGAAAAAAAGTGAAACCATTTTCTAAAAACATCTTCATATTATTCGTTATTTCTGAAATTACTGTGAATATTCTTTTTCCTGTTTTGGTTCCATTTCTTTCTAACACCTTCCAAATAATTCTATTTGTTTTCACACGTATTAAGCTACTTGCAAGCATTAAATCTGGAGGAAAGAAAAGGGGTTAAATTTAATTACAATACTGCTATAGCTGGACTCAAAGCCATCAACTCAGCAAGGGGGTTAAAGTACAATTAACAGATTTATAGATTAAATCATATCATGACAATGAATTACAATTACTACAGGGGATTTTTTAATTTTCAAATTACCATATCATACAAACACAACAATTTGAAACATTTCCTTTTTTTTCAGAATAGAAAGGAAGTCAAACAATGGAGAGTGCAAAATAATGCCAAACAAAGAATAAAGAATAAATAAAGAAAGAATATTAAGAAAAGAAACAATGCAGAAAATTTTCACCCTGTCAGTAGAGAAGACTACTTTTTTCATGCAATTACAGAAAAAGGCACATATGAAAACTTGTCTTTTTCAGATTTATTCATGTTACACTTTTTCTCATTTTACAAATAACAAGAAGTATGTAGTATTTTGTAAAAGATCACTGCTTAAAAGATCACAGTTTTTGAGCACTATTTTTTAAGTTTGTAAAGTTTTGTAACAGCAGCAGAGGTTGATAGCAAGAGTATTAGTGGGAAGAAGAACTGAATATGACAGGGAAGTTTGTGGAGTCTTTTGTCTCCTTTAGACTTGATATATTTCAGTACTTCAACTGTTTCTAAATACTTTTTTTTCTTTAAGAGTTTTAGTATTCAGTTATGCAATATTGCACTTCAGGTAATCTTATGTGTAAATGAATCTGTAGCATTGATGCTAATATGTAGTTTAATTTGTTAGACGCAATCTTGGAAAGTCATAAACTCACTTTGCATCTTTATCTACTCATATATTAAAGAAGTATAATTTATAATAAACATCTGCTTTACAATACTGATGTGACAGAAGGCATTAGACAAGGAAAATTGACTGTAGGTGCGAGACACCAAACACAAATATGTATGTATATAAGTAAGCCATTAAATATAGCTGACTGATTTTCTTATTCCAGTCCAAGGATTATTAATATACATGTAAATGTCAAATTTAATAAAGCTGTTCTGTTAATTGTGACTATGGTGTCTTGTACTAACACCTGTCAAGGTGTTTCTGGTGCAGAAAATCTTTGTCATGAATGAGCTAGATAACATAAATTCTAAGGGAACTAGCCTTTTACCTCGGAAGATCCAAATTCAAATACTGCTTTTAGTCTCAAATGAGTTGTTTGTCACACACCACTGAACCTCCAAATATGGCACAGTTTTGCATGGCTGGAAATCTGGGCTCAGGAGACATGAAGGATTGGAATATCAGGCTGTATCACTAATCAAGATTATGGTGTACTGGCAGAGACAAGTAGGAAAGTGTCTATGTGTGTATAGCAAATGCCAGCTCCTTCCCTCAGAAGCCAGCACTATTCATGTCTTAAATTCCATAAGCAGGATGTTTGTCAGCAAATTCTGGACAGAAAAATAAGATGCTGTTACTAATGACAGCCTTTGCAAATCAACCTCATACAACTGGCGATGATATTCTCCCATCAGAAGCAACGGGATCCATATGTATGGCAGTCGGTGCTTCTTACCTCTTAAAATGCTGAATATTAGTTTTGAAGCCTGAAAGCACAGATCTATGAAGACTGCAGTCTTATAAATTTCAGTTTTCTACAGTTCTACAGAACAGCTCTCAAACAAAATAAAATTATAGGGAAGCACCTCATTATTGAAAAAAAAAAGGGAGAAATCCCCAGTGGGAAGTCAGTAAAAAGTATTTTTAAGCCAATAACATCATATACTAATATCTCTTTGCAGAAATTGTACCCATTTAAAATTAATCCATCCAATTTTCACTGGAGGTAAGACACCATACAAAAAGACTGTCATGGTGATAGATCTGTGCAAACTCACAAATCGCGTTCATTTGTACAAACATACAATGCCAGCTAAAGGCACCTCCTATGTTCTTGCATACAATATACAGCAACCATGGGAGGATAGCACCACCTTTACTCAGTAAGTAGAAGAGAGAAGAAGAGGGTGCTGGCAGCATGCTATACCACACAGACTTTAGTATAGGCTATGGCAAGTCACATTTCAACTTCAATATCTCATCATTCCATGTTCTCTTTTTTACACGTCTAACTAGACTTAAGCAATACATTATTAAGAGTCTCTAGGCTGAACACAGAGATGCAAATCTCCAACTTAGGAGTAAAATGTTTATATTTGTAGAATAAATCACAGAAAACCCTTATTAGCACAGGGCCAAGTTGTTAATTTGCAAAGCACTAGGTTAGCTTTCAGCATCCCAAACACAGACTTGCTGTACTACGTCAAAGAAAGCAAGAAGGAAACAACATACTCTCAGCACCATCCTTACTTGCAGCCTTGGCTATCTGCTTCTCTGGAATTGCATCTCTCTCACACAAATGCACACATCTTCAAAAACAGTAACTAACAAAACTGTTGCATCCATATGGGCACATGAACATGCTCTCAGTGCTTTGGATAGTGACAGGTGGCTGAATTTGGGGTGGAGGGTGCTGTTGTTTCAACTATCTGGTGACATAAAGTATTGTAACTATCGATTATAATTGTCTTAAATGATCTGAAAGTCAATTTTGTCCAATGAATAAAAGATGCAGATTTAAAAGTATATTTTAAAAAAATTCATGCAGAACCCAAACATTACTGCATTTATTAGAGGTATGAGAGACCAAAACAATTTTAGAAGTTTACATTCTCTTTCAAAGAACAAAGAAAATCTCAAAATTAATAGAGACCGGTCAAGAATGAATCCAATTCATTGCTCTAAGATCATAGAGTTACTAGAATGACCACCAACTGAGTACACTCAGTAGGCATTGAAGTGAAAAAGAGCCCACAAGTTTTTTACTGAAATATAGGTAAAAAGAATTAAGCGAGCCTTTTAGAAAAGTAAGAAGAAAACCTTAAGAGAAATACTGAAGCATTTAGACAATCCAAATATTATTTTGTACTATATATATAAAAAGATTTCTGGTAGATTTTTTTAAGTAAAAAGCCTACCTTAGTCCATCTACTTTGTCTTTTGATTCTGATGGCACAGAAATTTCTAAGAGTGAGAAAGCTTATGTTTTGATCTGGAGGAAAAAAAAGGCACAAGAATATTACCCATATCTCTGGAAAGCTTCGGAGAAAAACAGAGCAATTGTTTCAAATTAAACAATCGAGCATGCAGATTCTTGGGACTAATGAAACTGGAAAACATGGCAAGACAGAAAAGGTTATGAATGTGCTTTTGATGTGGTTAAGGCTGGTCATCATGCGAGCCCAAAAGGACAGAGAAGAAATACAAGGAGTCCTCAAAATGGTAAAGCGTGAAAGAACATTTATAATGAGAACAGGAGTGTCTCTGTGAAAAGAAAGCTGAATAGAGATGTTTGCAAATCTTCATAAACACTTTCAAAGACTTTAAGAAAACAGTACCTAGTCCAAAGAGGCCTTGGCAATGAAAATGAAATTGTCTCCAGATTCACGCCCAGTCCAGTAAGGGCAGTCTGGTCCCCATCAGACAATGAGTCATAACTGTTAATGAAACCTGCGTGTCAGTACAGTGAGACAGAAAAGGAGACTGTGTACCCTTAGTAATAGGATGGCTCATGTCTTTAACTGCAAGAAACCAGCACTATTTGAAAATAAATTGTTTGTTTTAACATATACTGTTAAAACTTAGGCATGTGAAACTCCAGCAGACAGGATCTCCCTCTGGAGGCGTTCAGAGCTACTGTTTTTTCTTCACTGTTTTTTAGTGACTTCAGGGAAGTGAAGCATTCATTTTTAGAAAACCAGTTCGCTAGCTGATAAAATGTAGTTGCTGGTTAAATGACTAAGCTGGAACAAGTGGATCTCATTCCCTAAAAATAAAAAATGTATTTTTTTTTATTACAGTTATCAGATCTGCAAATCAAACACAAGTCTAGGAAAGATTCGAGAGCTGCAGACTCTCTTGCTGGAACATTTGACAGGAGTGAGGTAGAACAGATTAAAGTGAGAGATATTGGTACATCAAACTGAATTTTTAACAAGTAGCCTAGAAAAGTATGGAAATCATGATTCTCAGAATAATTGTGGCACAAAGTGGTCCAGCTCTTAAGATAGGAATGATCATCACCTGTCACTAGTCTTATCTGAAGCCAGAGCTCTCAGGTTTATGTGAAATTCTTTAAAGATACCACACATGGTGAACTCGGGAGTAATATATGAAAAAATGTTGAAAACTGTACAGTAAGACCATTTAGGACTACCAAAACAGAAGACAATGTTTGGAAACAATATCTGTAAGGTAAATATCAGTGTTTACCTCATACAGCAAGAACAAAAGCCAAGCTAGATAAAGAACTTTGTGACAAGAGGAACTGCATGTAGAGCACAAATCAGGCACAGATTTTTTTATGTTAACTGAAGAAATTCATTGCTCCTATGCTTATAGTTTTATTTCCCTCAGCCAGCTTTGCAAATGGATATTACAGCTGACTACATGGTTATGTATATTGTACCCATTCCTGCCAAACATACTATGTTTAACACAGTAGCATCTAAATATGGATGTTAGGATTTTGGTTACAGACAACAAAAAAACTTGCAGAAGAGTTTGACATAGCCATACATGAGGGCAAGCAATTTGCAACCTCTAGATCTAAAGGTGTTACATCCCACTTTTAACTGTCTTTCCTTTTAAAAGTTTAGACAAGGCTTTTTTCACCAGTTGTTGGAATATGTTGTCTGAATATATAGCTCAATCTCAGAAAGCTTGTGAAATCAGCCCCTGATCATCTTACAACATAATTAAGTTGAAGGATAACATCAGTGAAGCATGAGATCATTACATCTTGACAATTTATTTTTTATGAGAATTAATTATAAAAAACTGAAAACAAAACTGTCTTTCATGTAAGAAACTTATATTAAAAAAAAAAAAAATTGCATAAGGATGTAAGGGCAAATTCAAATAAAGAAGTGATAAGAATGGCAAGTTGCCAACAATTAATGTAAAAGTTAAATGAATCCAGCACATAACATCTCTTGCACCTAAATAGTTTTCCAATTAATTGTTGTTCATCAGACAGGATGATAGAATGGGTGAAACTTTTTCAACTTTTCTGAGAAGAGGGAAAGAAGGAATGCTGTCTGCCATCTTGTCTTACATGCTTTCAGCAAGGGAACAATTTCATCAGAATAAGTCAAATAAGAGATCACGCTATCTATATGAACAGGATAACTGTTTTTTGCCAACAGCACTTTCATATCTCCAGAGAAACTTGCAAGTACAAATTATGATTGAGCAAATCCTGTAAGGCAAAAAAATTAAGATGAAAAATGAAGTTATAAGGAAATTTAAACTACACATAAGTATTGCTCAAATGAATATGTTGGATTTAGAAAAATTAAGACACTTGAATGTATTTTTAAATGGAAATTGCATTGAAAAAGGTGATTTTATAAAAACTCTGGAAAAGACAAAGAGGTTAATTTTCAGGATATAAATTATTTTTTTTCATTAAAAGAAATTTGTGGAACTTTTCATTTTTCTCAGAGCAAAACATTTTCTTTAGAATGAAACCAAATGCAATTTTTCCAGTGTTGTGATTTAGCCACAAAACTAAAAGAAAAAAAAAGTCTGAGCTTTTCATGATGATCCTTCTTTTATTTAAGTGGAGAAGGAATATGTAGCCATTATACTTTTCAGATGCTCACATCATGTAATGAGAGTTACATTACTCAAGCTGAAGTACTATAGGCACAATTTTAACTACAACACAAGTGAAGCAACTCTCTGCTGACCACCCCGTTTTAAGATGACCAGTATGTACTTCATGAATACCTCAGCATTAGCACTCAGCAGATAATGCTTCCTGATATTCCAGTATTTCAGCAAAAATACTAGCAGAAATATTAACAGAATATTATCTGTTTCATTATGGAAGGAAAATTTAGAGGCCATTGGTCAACAGTGTGTG